CAAGTTTTGGATTTTTTTAGCATCAAATTCTTAAGTGCCATATTCTTATGTGCGGACCGGCACTGTATCACCATTTTAGGGTACCAACTGTAACGCATGCACCCCCAGGCGGCCATCTGATTGGCCGAACACCATCAATCCGCTGTTGGAGAAACCTCCATCGGGTACAACTGCCGCTGGCGTCTCGACCCTCTGGTGTAACCGATACTGGCCACTGGTGTATCCGATACTGGCTACTGGTGTACTCGAAAGGGGTCGATTTTGAACCCAGAAATGGTCGTAAAATCCTTGCGCCCGTGGACTCTAAAACCCGCAGAAAAAAACGTGTACCGCGCATACCCGCACAACGCACCATGTACCGCACAACAACCGCAGCTGCAGCTACACAAATACAACCACCACCAACGCCTCCCGAGGATACCAATCTCCGACAGCCTCCTCCGCAGATCGCGGCGAAACCAAGCGGCCGTGTCCTGTGCCTCATTCACGCCTACTGGGGGACATTTTTTTTTTTTCTCCCATCATTGGACTATGTCGTCTGCCCCTCTGGCCCCTATCCTCCACTGCTACTAGCTAGACGACCCAACCGGGGTCACATAGATAGGAGGGGGAGGCTGGACCCCCTCCTGCGGTTCCTGCCTGAGGTATTTTTATCGCGAGCAGGGTACACCAATCCCTTTCCTCGCGACTTACGAGGTCGATTATGGTTTACTATTACTAACAACGAGCTTTGCAGCGCGTCGCTTTCATCCTAGACAAGGATTTCAATATTGAGAAAAAACTCACTCTGACACGTACAGTAGGCAGGCCGTGCCCGTTTAAAACTCACTCTGACATGTACAGTAGGCAGGCCGTGCCCGTTTTGTCGCTCTGTACTCTCTGTGCTTACGTATCAGCACCAAAGCGAGCTAGCTCGGGCGTCTAGCGAGGTCGACCCTCTATCGGGGCCTACGAGTCAATAAGCGCTGGTGGTTTGGTTGTGTGGCTACTGCTGTGACTGCTGTGGGGTATGTTGAACGAACATGGTGTGTTGTGCGGATACGTGCGGTACACGGTTTTTTCCGCGGGTTTTCGAGTCGTCGGGCGACGGCATTACTGTACATTACACAAGATGACACACCGCCTGGCACAATTTTCAAAGCTCGATTACGCCATGACGAAGAGACTGCATTAATGAAACAATACATTTTCGGAAAGCTCTCGACGAGACAGCTTCAACGCCACCGT